AAATTGTTGCATGTTTAATTATAACATTATAAAAACTCGTGTCCTCAAAACTTACGACTGTACAAACGTCATTCAGTTTGTCAAACAAATGACTATATCGATAAGAAAACGGCAATAAATCGACTTTTAAAAGAACATATTCACTTCGTTTTTTTCTGATTTATTGCTATGATTATCAACCAAATTGCCAATACCCGATAAGCAATAGAAAACAGTTTTTTTAACTGACTGCCTATAAAGACTCGATTGTCTTTTCATCAAATTTATCTAAATAAGAGTTTGATACTTATTAAGGGCCAGTCCCACCAAATTGTAAATTGTCAGATAACACCAACGTATAAAATATGTGATGGAAATAACGGATGTTGTTACCTATTTGACAGTGTCGTCCTTTTTTAGCTATCTGAGCAACTACCAGCCTGTAGTTGGACAGGCCCTTATTATAGCAACGTCATAACTCACATTCATAAACCAGAGGGGTAAACAGAGACAGACATTTTACTTGATCCAACCAACCTTTTTAATTCTACATTCATAAATTTACGCATATACGTCGATTTTGGGCTGTCCCGTTTTCCTTGATTATTTTATGAATTTGAATTTAGCATTTACTGTCAAAATATACTAAAGAAAATAATGTTTTACCTGTTTATAGTCGTAAAAAACTGTTACATTAAATTTTTTACTAATTATCTCGATTATTATAAAAATCAAACCAAAGGGACAGAAACAATTACACCAATATATTCAACACGTCACTCGACGTGCTTCCTAAGCGTGACACTTGACGTCCTACGTCAGCGTGACACGTGACGTGATACCGTGCAACACGCTGTGACCACGCGTACAATGGATACGGTTATTTGGTACCATTGTGTTGAAGCGTAACGGTATAATCAATCTATCTTAGATTTTCTTTACAAAATAAATGTAAATAAAGGTGTCAAAATAAACGTAAAAAACAAGCATATTTCTAAAATGTAGATAGATTATAAAAGTAAGAAAACCTATTATTAGAATATTAATGTGAAAAATATTACAATAAGGTAGGGACGTATGTTGACGAAAATAACCATAATTTACTTTCTCGTGTAATTATTCAAAGTATATTAAAGTGTCATAATTTAGTGTGTAATAGTTGTAAAATCTTACGACAATATAATAGCCTAGGATCTAGAACTATTATAGAAATACAATTTGAATAATCTGTCTACTTCATTTTGATGTATTAAGTTAAGTACCCAACCGGTCTGAACTTACTACTTAGCGAGTTGAATCCTTTCTTAATTGCATTCGATTCTTATATATTTTGCATAATAATACGCGTCATATCTATTATACAAAAGATTTGCAATTTTGAATCTAATCTGTGTCAAAATAAGAGCGAAATTAACACATTTTCCCGCAGTTCAACTTCTAAATGAGCTTGACTCTGGTAGGCGATATAAATCATGAGATAATTCTATGACAATAAATTACACCGTAATCTGCTTAGAGCTTAGGATATGCAAAGCTTTTGAGTACCGTGCATTAGTAACCAGTTAATACGTCATATCGGATATTTATCGTTCAACAGATGATACAAACTTTGATAGATTGAAAAGTAATTGAACCAAGAGATACAAGCAAGGACACATACCGGACCGTCCGACTCGAATAATGAACTCGATCAAACAACCGTTATCAACACAATGCCATCAGGTTCACAGGCGGACACAAACACAGTCGGGAACTAAGACGGCGAAACGGACACCCAAACTCGGATACAACTAACACATATACAAACTGAAAATTGACACGAAAAGATAAATCGATCGCGCTACAAGATCGTGAGACATTCACCTCTGGCGGTCGCGGGCCGCGCACTGGCCGCCGCGCGCGCCGCAGAACTCGTTTCGTAGAAAAAAATCCTTCCCGCGTCCGCCGTCGCCATCGCCGTCGCCCCGACCCTTTGCATGTTTCCTCGATCGCTATTCATGCCTCCAGTAACATTATCTGTACGCGTCTCTTGGAGCCTTTCTGGAACCAGTTGCGTATCAGAATGATTCGGTGTCTCGATTCCGACCGAATTCGGCGTACCGTTAATTACAGCATTCCTAGGCGCGACTGGTATCCGCCCGTATACGGCCGAGCCATGTTTCTGAGTAGCCGCGATAACTCTAGGCTCCGTGATCGTCTGCGCCTTGGCAAACGTGTTGACTTTCATTATCTCGTTGGCCTGCTGGAGCAGCCTTCTTTGTATATTTTCTATTTCGTTCTTCGATGCTCTCGAGTTCTCTGATAAGTTCACTATCAACTGTCTCACACTGAACTCTGTCATCGTATTGAATTTCGTGTGTTTGCTCGTGTCGTGCGTGTTTTCGTTTAAATTTGCGTCATTAACATTTCTCACTTCCTCGGACCTTTCCGGAGCTTTGATCTTCATTTCTCCCGCGCTGTCGGGCGGAGTGACAATTATCGCGGGGAGCTGGTTAAGATAATTAGCAGATTCCTTGGCCCGGCCGCGCTTCACTTTCCTCACGGTCCTGCCGGCCATTGCATTGTTACGACTCCGCCTAATGATGATTGCCGCACCCTTAACATTTTTCTGTTCTCAGTTTAAGAGCTCGAGACGAGATCTAGAACTGTTAAACTGATTTAATTATGTTAAAAGAAGCGACAGCGAGGAGTTCACTAGACTCGAGATGTGTTTTATTGAGGCTTTACGAACAACTATTTAAGAAATAAGAATGGAATGATGCTTTAATGTTAGTAGACAGGCTTCGAATGGTGTTTAGTAGAATTTTATTGCCACAAGCGACAAATTAATAGTCTTCGCACGTCGTGGTCTCGAGTTAATTATAAAATAGCTTTAATTTTTTCACCACTTTTAGAATGCTAACGCATTTGCGAGTCGAATTGACATTTCATTGACGTGAATTATCAAGTAAGATATTATGATGTTTGTGAAGCTTATCACACTAATTAAGATAAATGTTTTCATTATGCTCGCTAGCTTATTAGTGTTTTGATTATTTTATGGCCTAACTTTTCTAAATGTGCTGAAGGCAACGTTTTTTTAGAACTCTAATTGCAATTTATATAACCTAAAGTTTGATGACATGATTATTTGATTATTTAAAGCATTTATTTACAAATACAGGATTTACTTTATAAAATCTGAGCATTTTAGAAAATGAAAGTTATAAGAGTACGTAATGTTAGTCCCTATTAAATTTCGTGACAATCAAGACCAGTGTACTCGATTTGACGCTTTTGGTTATCATAGAAAGGTTTACCATCAGACTAATTACTACTGGTATTTCCGCTTGGTACGTTACCAAATAATATGAATAGAATGGGAAATCTGTAAGACATTTTAATGTAACGTGCAATTATTTTTGTAAACCGGGCCATCGAACCGGTTGCGGTCTCACGTTACTATTCAAAGAGTAACAAAAACTGTAGGTCATACGTTTCATCTATGCATTTGTTACAGTGCAAAATTTTGACAATAAATTTACGTTTAAAAATAAAAAAAACATACAAACGAATTGAGTAGAGAGTTATTTGCATTTAACTAGAAAACTTTAAGTTTTTAAAATGCTTTTAAATTTTAAAATGAAGTCATTCGACTAGTATTGAGTTACAAAATAGTTTTGGTCTGTTTAATAAATAAACTTAACGAACGGCTTCCGTAAAACATAAATTTGATAATTTACGTTTGTGAATTATTAAATTATGAAACTGTAACTTGAGAAGTAGTTGTTTATATCATAAATTTGATGTAAAGTAAAGTGACGTATCTATTTTTTCTTAGATCGTAGTGAATTAAAAAATGAATTCATGAAGAATTCACTATGAATCATGGATGCCTAAAGAAAAGACTACACTTGCAATAATAACTGAATTTTTAATGTTCAAAGTAAATAAATCGCAACAGAGTTACATTGTAAACTTTTAAAGCAATCAAGTATAAAACAAATGAAGTGCAACTTTTTTGTCGCGTGATAAATACATTTTTAAGAGAGATGTGCCGTTAAGTGTGATGGCATTGGTTTTTACGAAAAAAGTTCGCATTCCTAGCGGGTACCGGGTACAGATGTCAGACTCGAACTGAATAAAAAACATCCACTTGATTGAGTACATATAATGATTCAGTAAAACTTTGACTGTGAAGAAACGGACTAGATCACCATTGTACTTTAGTACCAGAACTTTAATTCTGGTACTGCGCGAGGCGTGGTATTTGATACAAAAATATACACACTAACACAATCTGAGCACTTATGTAAGCAAGATTACATCTTATTGGTCGTTTTTGTTTAATAGAAGGCAATAGGAATACGTGGCATGTCCTGTCATTTAAAAGTCAAATGTCGCAAAACGCGTATTGGATTCTGGGTAATCGAATACGTCCTTAATACGAAAGCTTTTATGGTGACGAATAAACTTGTTAATTGTTGTCAATAAGTTTAAATTAAGTCCTTTTAAATTAGTACATAGATTTTTAATTAACTGCGTCCACTAGCAATTTTACTTAGTATAAAATAGTTTTTCTTACAAACTCAATAAAGATGAGTATCTACTCCTATTTAAATTTAAGTCTTACTTCTTACTTCTTATCTTATTATCTTCCTAATCTTACTAATATTATAAATGCGAAAGTTTAGATGGATGGATGGATGTTTGTTAGCGTTTGTAGTCTAAACGGCTGAACGGATCTCCATGAAATTTGGCACAGGTATAGAGCATAGTCTGGAAGAACACATAGGCTACTTTTTATCCCGACAATAGTTACGGTTCCCGTGGGATTCATTAATTTAGTTTTTTAATGTTTACTCGATCATTCTGCAACGGTTCAACATATCTTATTGAAATTTGGCACAAATATCAAACAAAGTCTGGAATACACGTGGGATAAGCTTGATCCCCGAGAAATGTCCGGTTCCCGAGGGATAAGTAGCTTTTTGTAATTTATATAGTTCGTATGTTTTCTAATACCACGCGTACGAAGTCGCGGGCAACAGCTCGTATGTATATAAGTTAATGTTCGTTTCTTATTCTCGTTTGAGCACTTCCGTGACAATCTTCAGAATTATACAATAGTTACATTTGTTCGTACGTTTTTTTTTGGCAAAGTCATTTATTATGATTCCGGCAGTATATGTCATTAGAGGTATTGCATAATCTATACTTTCACTGCTTATGTTGTGGTATTTAACACCGAATGTATTTCAATTCGAATATCAAATTAAACTTCTATGCAACTTTAAGTGAAGAAGTAACAAAATATTAAAATCTCAGTTACAAAAGTAATTTGCTTGACGGTTCATGTATTTTATTTTTTTTTATAATTAACTTTAAAAATGTTCAAAAGCTTTATGTTTGTTTTATATGTATTTTATATTGATATATTACCAGCTTTTTGTATACATAATACAATTAATGATTTTATGTTAATTTCTAAAGACAAGCTCGAATTTTTTAATGGCTAATGACTAAGCTTTTTAAGATGTCAAGTATGCTTATAAAATGTGTAAGGAAACTTACGTTAATCATGCCATGCTAACAATATAGTTTTTATTTTTTTTTAATTTACAGCCAGTAATCTATTTTGTTAACAGTTGTAAATACGTCCATAAAAATGTATAGTAAAATTTTTAAAATATCAGATGACGAAATATAAATTACTAGATGACGGCGACGACGACGACCTTCAATACATTTTTGGTGCGTGATTTTTCATATTAAAAAAGCTTAATGTTACACGGAGTTGCACTCCGATGACGTCACAGTTATGTTTTGTGGGTGCAGTACACGTGGGTGGGTACTTTATTTGAGAAAGATATTAAACCGAAAAAAACCGGTAATTGTAGCATAAACCCCGTTGTTATATAACATGTTTGCAACTTGAACTTACTAGCTTTAAGACGCTGAGTTCTGATAGTTTCAAGTGAAAAGTCCTATTGTTCAGTTAGAACTGAAATCTGTACAGGGCTTTAAGTTTATGTTAGTATTTTTTACGCTATATTTTTTTTAGTCGTGTTGATCAAAAATAATTTTGTTTATGCAAAAGATTTTATTTCTTTAAAATTTTGAGTTAAACAATTAGTCAATCTCAGTTTTAATAAAAATAATGGTTACATTTTTACGTTCATATCTGCCTTTGGTGTATTTAATTGGTCACGATACCAAAAACTTAATTCGTATGTTTTAACGTCGTAAAAATGTACATATTATGTATTGTTCTAAAACTGTATCTGCGGCACGATCTGCGTGGGCGATTGTACAGTCGCGGCAATCGACGGTGTTCTACTTTAGAAAAAAATGCCTTGTTCATCGCAACCAGACAAACTCCGCCTCTTCCTAGAAATATATAATTAGATAGCAGTGAGTACAAAGTTGGGATAATAAAAAGAAACTAGCCATGTACTATCCGACTTTTTTAACACGTTTATAAGCTACGTTGTATTGATTTTTGTTCCGCGTCTCGTTTCAAAATGTTTAAATTTTAACGAACACCGTCAGTTTCCCCGATTTTATGTCCAAACTCGATTGATTCGCGCAATAAGTATTGCTAAAGTACATCGAAACAGATCACTTCTTCGAAATATCAAACGAGTTTTATTTCTAGTAAAGTGATACATTACAAATGTAACTTACTAAATAACGGATACAATCTAAGATGTTACTTAACCAGTTAAGATGTTGCTTATGTTATTTTAGAGTTAATTGATTATTAACAAGTTTATTTACAGAACCAGATTAAAGTAATAGTGTTATTTTAATCTATGGTAATTTTATGAAGGGAAATGATTTGTTGTTTTTGGATGAACTAAAACAAAACTAAAAAAAGTAACTTTTTCGATTAACAAGAAACCTATTGTATGTTTTTTTTTTATTTAGAAATACACAATACTATGGCTAAACTCTATTTTATTCTATCTAACTAAAAAAAAAACGAAAAAAACCATTGCAGAGATTGAAAAACATAGCTTTACTGGGTAAGATGTTCTATGTTTTTACGTTTTATTGAACGAAGAAGCGTGCAAAAGCTAGTTCTAAATAATTGGCATTTGAATTGCAATCTTAGTATAACACAGAGCAATAAAAGACAACAATACTAAACTAAGATCAAAGTAATAGATAATACGGCAACAGCGCCCTCTAACGAGGTGCGAATGTAACCCGTACTGATATCATCGGTGTATATATTTGCATACAATGTTGTGAAAGTTTTTAAAAACCGAAAACACTGGTCAAATAATTAATTATTAAGTCAATATAAATAGACAAAGGTTTAGGTAAATATTAAAATGTATGTAATTGAAATAACAATTTCTGTATTGATGAAAATATTTTTTATAACTATCCAAAAAAATAATATACTTTTGCTAGTATAAACGTCAAGTTTTTGTATAGCATAATTTCCGTCTTGACAGGGGTTGCTGTGCCCACGACCTTCTTCTATTTCCTTAGATTGTTCTAAACATTGTTGTCTACTAATTCCTTAATTAAATTTACTTACATGTTTAAAAATTAAATACAGAACAGTTCTTTCTTAATAAAATTTTATAACTGATCTTAGTTAAAGAAAACCCTCGACGAGTGTAATTGTCGTGGGAATTAGACGTTACTTTCATATATTTTGTACTCATTTATCGTTCCTTTCGACTGTTAAAATATTAAGACAAAAATGTTGCCATATTATTCTAACAAACAATTATTTGTTAAGAAAGATTACATTTTACCTTCATTTGAAACTCCGTAATTTCTATTACAAGTGTTAAAATTAGGTCTTGACTCAGAATTCTAACAATTTAGAAGTTTATTCATATTAAAGTGAAATTATTTTAACTTGTATTAAATCGAAATACAAAAGAATTGTTTTAAACAACTAAATCAAGTCTAAAAAAATCAGCGCCATCTAGCCACTTAATTATAAATCTTAACTAAACAACTTCATAAGGCCAAACATCAAAAGCTCTTCGTTACGGTACTCAATTGTTTCATTCGTAATTAAAAAGATATTTGAACAATCAGCTGTATTGTGTTAGACAATTCGTCTGCGAATTCGTTCCTTTGCCCAAATAGAATTAGGGTCAATGTTTTATTTCAACAGTCGAAAACAATTGAAAGCTAGAGGACTGTGGACTCAGTTAACTAGACATGAATAGATTATTCTAGAAAATATGTTTTATGTTTAATTGATTATTTCTTTGGGTTACTATATTTCTATAAGAGGGAACATTTGTATTTTTGAATGTATTGAATTAACTCAAAAAATACGCAGGTACAATAACTAATAAAAAATATATTAGTATTTTGCAAATCCATATGACCTACATACGTATTTTTACTCTTTGGATCGATTTTAATTGGCTTAAAGCTTAAAATAGCTTAATTTTTTTTATAATTTCATAATAGTCATCATAAAATATTGTTATACAGAAACACAACGTAATTAATGACTTAAAATTATTTCTCTTGTGTATATCTGCGCATTTTTCCTCATTGAGATTAAAATGTGGAAGCAAACGTGATTTCAGTAAAGCCTTAATAAAACAATATGTAAATAACACGAGAACTCGAACATTTCAGAGTATAACAAACACTGTTGTATTTCGCGCGCTTTCTATTGTAACACAATGTACCTCTACTTCACACATTACGTCATCACTTCGTACAAATATTCAAATTTGGAACCAATAATTACTATTTTTAAATTTGGAACACAAACTCGATTTCAATTTGTAACACAATTTTTCCGTTTAATTTCAAACTGTAACACGGATCATGTTACAAAGTAACTAGATGTGTTACATTTTGTACTTTTCGTGGGGTTTTTCGGTATTTTCGCGGCGAATGCGTACAGTAGAGCACGTAAAGAGTCAAGCGCGCAATTTGAACTGAACGCCTTTTGCGTCCGTACATTGGGCCACTGAGATTTGCTTGAGTAGCAACCTTACTGTGACGTCATAGAGTTGAGAAAAATTAGAGCCGGCCTTATACTTACTATAAAACAAACAATGTGTTCACGAATATGACTTAAGACTTTTTATGAATGTGCCAATAAAATTATTTCATTTAATCTAATTGCATATTAAAAAAAAATGTGTAAAAGCCTACATAAAGGATGCTCATTCATGTTGATATTGCTGTTTTTATCAATTTTTTTTTTATAAATAATGTTATAAAATATCCATCAATTCTAAAGCATTTGTAATTCTATGAACTCCTTCAATCTATTGTTTGTTAATTCTGGGAACTTTAATATCGAGTTACGTAATGTCAAGTCTATGCGTTTCGTATGTCTGTGGCGTGCACTACCGTCTGTCACGGCGGCTGCACCAGCTAATGTGTTGGGCTCCGCTGCACACGAAGATGACCAGGGGAGTCCAGTCGCCATAGAGATAGCAAGGGAAATAAACGAATTTACTTAAGTTCTCTTATGAGTATTATAGTCCCTTTCCTTTCCCACTCTTTTCTTGTAAGGAAAGGGAAAGTGGACTGATGTTGGAGGAGATTCATAGGAAGGGGAAATGTTCTGTTTATATGCGTGTCTTCCTCCAATTAAGGGTAGGCAACGCATCTGCAATTGCGGATGTCTATGGACAGCGGTCGCTTCGCAATTTCGACTAACTCAAGTGGCTAAACGTTCATTTGCCACCTTATCATATATAAAAAACTATAACAGTTATTACATAGCAATAATATTGTCAATAGCATCGAAAAAACAAAAGCCTATTGTTTGCTACATCACAATACTTGTAGTTTCTCCGCCGATGAGTTGCAAAAAAGTGAGTGTCCCATTTTATCGCGATATGCCACTCGTATGGGCGTAGATTAAATAATAAAAGAGAAGTTCCTATTAGGGATTCCACAATGAATACATTTTAAGGGATAATCTACATTCAAGTGAAATGACACCGTAATTTTAAAACCTTTATGATATAGTTACACTATACATAGCGTTTCAAGTCTATATTTAATTCAATTGTTTTTGGAACAAACAGTAAGGTTGCTGCATAAAGAGCTTATTGGAATAGAAAAGCTTGTACTTAGTTGTACAAGTAATTGATAATAGCCTACCAACTTTATCCTAAAGTATATAAAAAGCTGGTGCATGTAGTTTATAGTTTCGAAGGAGATCGCCACGCGTGGCGGCGCGTGACGTGGCGTAATCGTACCGTCTGTGAAGTAACCGAGCGCTGTAACGTTCTACGATATTAGTACTTCTATGTGCATATTACACCTTACTTAATTAGTATTGGAAAGGCTGTAAGACTGGCCCTATTTTAATCGGATAAAGCAAACGATCTGCACCTACAAAAAGGAAGATAGAACTATGGATGGATTGTGTGAAAGATCATATGCTTTAGAAGGAAGTGAAGTTAGGTAAGACGGCTAATAAAGATGTATAGAAGTTATACATATTGTCCTAACACTAATAGTATGTTGATAATAAAAGAATTCGCAATGTTATTTGGCATCTTTCAGCAATGAAAGCATTGTATTTATTTTAATCAGTCTAATTACATGTATTATACTCGTAGTTAATGCAATTTTTATATGGGTTAGTTTATTATAATTTAAAAAATATTGGTTGCATATTTATGCATCATACAGCAGCTCAGGTTTTTCCTCTCTTTAAATTAATGTTTAAATAATAAACGACCTTCTGTCGAGGAGTTATGAAAGAAAATAGAATGCACTTATTATTATAAATCGATTAATTCGTCAGTAAGCTACATAATTTGATCAACGAGGTTTTAACAAGGTTTATGTATACGCTTATTTAACTGCAAGTTACTGCCGTAATAGTTTAGGAATATGTTCATAATAAAATGTACAGTCGCGAAATAATCTAAACTTTTAACTCTAATAATGAAATTTGAATAATTTTCATCCATCCCACCTTTTAGTCCCACTACCAATAAGGCGACAGATGGAACAGTTATGAAATAAAATAAGTTCTAACCGTCCCCTCGTCGCAAAGGTACAACGAATTAAACTTTTTATTCTTATCCCACGTGGGGACAGAGTGACAGTTGGGAATAATCCTAAATCAAACCTTATAGGTTTTTCATTTGAAAAAAAAAATACATAGGAATGAAAACATTTTTTTACAATTACTGTTTACATTAATTCTTTAAACAATTGTGTATAACAACATAAGCTATAAGGATAACTTAACCATTTAAGTATTAGTATACATTTAGTAAGAACCCATTATATTTTTTTCTCAGTCGGCGCCTCACGAGGCCGTAAGCCCACGTATGATTAGAGCCTCTATAATGATTTATTTCTTGTTTCACCTTCGTCTGACCCGATTTCACTGATTGATAAATTTGGCGCAGTACTTATAAAGAATATTGACTAGGGATTTTGTTTCATGACAGAGTCCACACTGTATTGTTATTTTTTTATATTTATAAGCAATTTATATTCATTACAAAAGTTATTTTCTTACTAACTTATTACATAACTAGCTGTCGCTCGCTACTTCGTATGCCTACAGTTAAAATAAATATAACCCATGTTACTTAGGGATAACGTAGCTATGTATGAGACCAGCACAGAAGTTTTTGAGTGACATCAATATATAGAAAAAGCCAAATGTTTACTCTTTATAATATGAGTATGTTTTTATTATTGTTATCTATGTATTATTGTTTATTTTCTTTTTCATTGTTTTCTTCCTGCTTACCTTCTAATGGAATATAATCTAAATTAACGCATTTAATCAATTTTCTTTGCAATTCCATCGTTGACATTAAAAACCTATTTACTGTTCACTCAACTCTAACCGTCGTATTTTCAAACTTTCTTCTTATTGGGCCATGAAAATAGCGTTAGTAAGAAAAAAAGCACTCGAAGCTGTAAACTAAAATAAAATTATGCAGTGCGAAACAGCATCATCATCATCATCATCATCATTATACGTCCCCACCGAGGGGCTCGGAGCCTACCCTAATAAGGGGTGACTAGGCCATAGTCAACCACGCTGGCCAAGTGCGGGTTGGTTGACTTCACACATAACTTTGAATTTCTTCGCCGATATGTGCAGGCATCACGACGTTTTCATTCACCGTAATAACATCAGGTAAATTATGTACGTATGAAAATTCGAAAAATCGAAAATCACATTTATACATAGCGGGATTCGAACCCAAGACCTGTAGATTATAAGTCAAGAAGTGCAAAACATACGTCCTGATAATTGCTTTACCAATTCTAGATTAATCTTTTCATACTTGTAATTTAATTACTCAAAATGGCAGATTAAAAGCCACAACTAAGTAAAAAAATTGACTCACGGCTTATTTGGAATCTAAGCCGTTCCTAACATACTCATAAACAACCGCGTTTTCTCTGGCCACAACTCAACTATCTCCGGGCGTTAACCACAGGTGCTTTGTACAGAGGGTTGTGGTCGGTTGCGCCCCCATCAGCAGGTGTCGGGCAGATGTGCGCTGACCTTAGAATGATTTTTTTAAATCCACTTTTAACAATGTAACGTATCAATGCAATATAAGTTTGCTGATTGTTTACTTTATTTATAAATTTAGGTACTAATATAATTGTTTTTTATCTAATGTTAAAGTATTTCAAATTATGATCAGTTTTCGTACACTTATCGTAAGAATTGAATAGAACAGAGTGAAATATATTCATCTCTTTCTAACATCTTAGTCAATTATGCGGTAATCTCTTATATGTCTCAACACAAAACGGTTTGACCTGACGGTGACTATCAATTATGCTTATAACAAGATCGCTTCGAAATATTTCAAAACGTTTGCATTCAACTCTTTAACGTGCAATTATGACGCGAACGTAAAAAAGTTTACAAAATCTAACACGACAGACGAAAAGGAAACTTAACTTAAAGCAGTACAGTTCAAAATTGTATAACTTATAACAAAATAAAAACAACATTTAATAGCTTAGTACAAAGTCTAAAGAACTGTTTAATTTAACTGCATGAATGTTTATTCTAAAAGTTAATGTATGAACTTCGAAGTACTTGTATAACAAGATTCAAAGTTAATGGAGGCTCACGGTACTACGAGCGCATCCCTTTACGCCTCGTAAAGCAATCACGATAGAGTCCACACTGTATTGTTTTCGTACAACGTCTTGTAGGAAATTGCGAGCTGCAGTAAAGTGTTAATTGACCTATACCTGCGTCTACTTGCTGCTAATAATTCTACAATAGCCGTTACTATTTGACATTTAAAAAGTATCGCAAGTTGTAAGGCGAAAATTATGGTTTTTTAATGTTATTACGCTCAAAGGTCATTAGGACACAAATACCTATAATTTAAGTTATTGTGAAATGTAATATTCGTTATAATTTGTCAGTACTTTAGAACTGTAATAAAATTTATTTATTAAAGGTGCGCCTTTGACAAACTATCAAACTGTTTAGTCTCGCTTTGATTCTTATAATATAAGCTAATGGAGATACGTACATTACCCGACTTTTAGTTGTGCAACTAAACAGTTGACAGCAGCAAAACAATCGAAAATCGCACAATTTTGCGATTGTTTAATCAAAGATGTGGGCCCTCTATAATATTACAAGTAAGTTCTAATATTAAGTGTCTTTAAAATTTGCCAATTATTTTTTTATCGAAGCAGGAACTTAAGCCAATCATTGCAGTGATATGTAAATGGCATTATGTTACTTGTTACATATACTTAAACACCATGTAGGCGGACAAACATCATGTTTACATTTATCAAACATAATTTAAATTGTTTAAAAACACTTCCTTATGACCACTCTATTTGTTTAATTTATTTTCGACTAGCTTTTGCCCGCGACTCCATCCGTGTGAAATTAAAGTTAAAAATAATAAAAATCAAATGAAAAAACATAGCATATGTTACTAACAGAT